GGTGGGAAGGGATAGCCTGGGATTTCAAAATTGTAGAATAGATAAACAAGATTACACTGTATAGCACAGGGAAATATACACAAAATGTTATGATAACTCACAGAAAAAAAAAGTGACAATGAGTGTGTATATGTCCATGAATGACTGAAAAATTGTGGTGAACATTGGAATTTGACACAATATTGTAAAATGATTATAAATCAATAAAAAATTAAAAAAAAGAACTTCTCCATAGAGAAACCTATGGGTCAATAATTCAGATTTACATAAAGAAAGGAAGAGTATTAGAGAAGGAATAAATGATGGTAAACAAAACATTTTATTTCTCTTATTCTTAATTGGTCTAAGAAGTAAATGTTCAAAATAAAAGTGACAATGTATTCAGTGATTATAGCTTATGGATAGTCAAATGAATCACAAGAATATTATATAAGATTAGAGAGAGGAATTAGAAATACTCTGTTATAAAGTACTGGCACTACCAGTGTATAAAAATAGCATTATTTGAAAGAAGACTTGGATAAATTGGAAATGTAGAATGCACATGCAAGGGCAACCACTAAAAAAGAGCTTTTCTAAAAAAAAGTATAATTGATATGCCAACAGAAGAGAAAAAAATGGAATCATAGAAAAATACTCAATTAGACTTAGAGAAGGCAGAAAAAGAGTGGAAAATGAAAAGAAGAACAAGGACAATGACTATAAAACAGGAAAAATATGGTAGGTATTAACCTAAATGTACTGATAATCCCTTTAAATGTCAATGGTATAAATACACCAATGAAAAGGCAGAGACTCTCAGAGTGTATTATAAAACAAGAAACATGTGAGGCAAAACTGATAGGATTATAAGGAGGTGAATACACATTTATTTCTGGAGACTTCAATACTTCTCCTTTTATCAGTAACTGACAGGTTCAACAGGCAGAAAATCATTAAGTAATTGAACTGAAGAACATCATTAATCAACTGGATTTAATTGAAATTTATAAATTACTTCATCCAACAAAAGTAGGATACACATTCTTCTAAAGTTCATCTGTAACATTCACCAAGATAGACCACCTTCTGGACCATAAAACAGACCTTAATAAATTCAAAAGAATAATACACCAATATGAAATTAAACTCGAAAGCAGTAACAGTAAGATAAGTAATATTCAATGCAATCCTAATCAAAATACAAATAGCATTTTGCACAAAAGTAGAACAAATAATTCAAAAATTTGTAGGAAACCCAAAAGACCCAAAATAGCCTAAACAATCTTAAGAAGTACAGAAGTGGAGGTATCCCACTCCCTGATTTCAAATTATACCACAAAGCTACAGTAATCCAAACAGTATGGTACTGGCATAAAAACAAGACACATAGATCAATGAAACAGAACAGAAAGCCCAGAAATGAACCCACACTTATATGGTCAGTTAATCTACAACAAAGGAGGAAATAATATACAATGGGGAAAAGACAGTCTTTTCAATAAATCATTTGGGAAAACTTGACAGCTACATGCAAAAGAATCAAACTGGAATACTTTCTTACACCACATACCAAAATAAACTCAAAATGAATTGAAGGCTGAAGTATGAGACTTGAAACCATAAAACTTCTAGTAGAAAACAGGGATTAAGCTCTTTGACATCAGTCTCAGTAATATTAGGTGGTGGTGGTGGGGATATGTCTCCTCAGGCAGGAAAATAAAAACAAAAATAAATAAATGGAACTATATCAACCTACAAAGCTTCTGCATAGCAAAGGAAACTGTCAATGAAATGAAAAGTCACCTACTGAATGTGAGGAGATATTTGCAAATGATATATCCAACAAGAGATTAATGTCCAAAATATACAAAAAACTCATACAATTTGACATAAAAAAACTAACAACACAATTTAAAAAATGACAAGGACACGAATAGAAATTTTTCCAAAGAATTCATACAGATAGCCACAGGCAAAAAGATGCCCAATATCATTAATCATCAGGGAAATGCAAATCAAAACTACAGTGAGCTAACACCTCACATCTGTCAGAATGGCTATTATCAAAAAGACAAGAACTAACAAGTGTTGTGAGGATGTGGGAAAAAGAACCCTCATTCACTGTTGGTAGGAATGTGCACTGGTGCAGGAACTAGAAACCAGTATGGAGATTCCTCAAAAATTAAAAATTAAAATTAAGTTGGACCATACAATCCAACTATCCCACTTCTCGGTATTACCTGAAGAAAAGGGAAACACTGCTTTGAAAAGATATATGTACTCCTATGTTCACTGCCACATTATTTACAATAGCCAAGGTATGGAGGTTCAACATACATTTCCTTTAAATGATGAATGGATAAAGAATACATGGTATATATATACACAACAGAATATT